GGGCAAACAGCCTTTCAATTAACAATCCCCCCCCCCCCCTTGCGCTATGCCTTTAATTAGTATCTAATATACTGTGTTTCTTACAAGTTAGGAACTCAAACCTACCAGGTGCCTGAGTCTCGAATCCAGACAATCCAGTAAAGGTTGGAGAATCTTTATAGATGTCGATAATTTTTTCGCTGACCGTCGACAAAGGTTTGGCGCAGGGTCCTCCTCCCGTTCGCCTCTGTGAAAGTTTGTTGTTGCTAAATTCCTTTTTTGCCGTCTGGTGCATATTCGTCCATTTGGTTTTAATTTCTTTAGTTGTGCGACAGGAAACCCCTAAGGCATTAATTTGCTCAGTGATGTTGTCCCAAACTTTTTTCTTTTTCTCGTTGGTAACGCTGTTTGTGAGTTTGCTATTAATGATGTCAACATTTCTCTCCACTAGATCAGCTAAAAGTTGAATTTCACTTGAATCGAAATTTTTCCCCCGATTTCTATTGTTTTTAAATTGAATTCCATCAGTCATTGTGCAGCAGGAGTTTTTGATTTTCGATGAAATGACGTTTAATGATATATCCTTTTAGACGCTCGGAATGGGTTAGATGACGTAATTTTTAATTTTTGCGTCATAATTAAAAATGAGTTCTAATTTGGCGGATTTTTAAACTGGTTTTATTATAAGTAAATAGTAAACAAAGGAAACGCCCACGGAAGTGGTAACGCAATGCATTACGGGATGTTTTCCTAATGTTAATAGATCTTTAATGAATTCTTAAATATTTAATGATTCATTAAGTAATAAGACTCTAATAAAGGTTTTGTACAACACACTTTAATGACTCTATTAACTAATGTATCATTAAGAATTTAATGAATCATTAGGCTTGATAATTCATTAAATTTAATGAACCGTTGATACAACCGGGTCCTGGCTTAAAACACGAATCAAATTCAGTAACTGGAAAGTTGTTGCAGAATGCTAAGGTGACCTATAAGGCCCGTGTTCCTCTTGTTTCATTTTACACAGTAGCTTAATCACCCTTTGGGGGACCATATTTCTTGTATCCTATTTAGATGTGCAGCTTTACCCTAGAGACAAACAGGGGTCGAAAATGTCGTTGTTCTGCAAAAGTCCCTGGTTCCGGAACTCCTCTTGCATTTTAACAATTGTTTGAGAGATCATTGTTGGCGCCCAATAGATATGTTAAAAACTTCTGAGATTTTCATTTTCACCCTAGGGCAAATGTAGGTCAATAAATTATGTTTTAATGCACTTATACTTGAAAAAAATGAAAACATATTCTGTGGCCTTCAACTCGACATTTAGATATATTGAAGACGTATTGTAAATTCACAATGCTCATATCTATTCTAATGTCAATGCGATATACCCAGTTAAGCTTGAGATAGAGGATAATAAAGAGTCTGAAACATGTATATCGTGTTTGGATCATTTATCTGCACCGATGTGTCGTCTATTGCAGTATAAACACTTTAAATTGCATCAAGTTGCTGATGACTGTCGGTTTTTACAGCTTAGCGGGGCTATTCCACGGACCTCCCTACACATTAAACAACGTGATTTTAGCAGTAATGCAAGAACATGATTTTGTTATTGTATATTCATTTTAACTGATCAACACATATTACAAACATATTTGAAATTTAAAAAGGCTATTTTTAATGCAACGAAAGCTCAAATCGTCTGCATTCTATACACAAGTAAGCAAACAAATTTTACCTCTGGTGTTAAATGAAACAGCGTAATCGAGGCATGGTGATCTAATTCGTTTCTCTAAAGGGGAAACGATAATCTTTAATTAAGCGTTTGAACCATACATAGTAGAATAGAAAGAAAGTCCTTGTTGTCGTGAATGATGCTGAATAACCTCCCCGGTCTCTAAATGTTGTTAGAAATATAAAAGCCTCGGCTAGCGCCTCGGCTTTTATTTTTCAAACAACATTTCTCGACCTCGGAGGTTATTTTGCAACATTCACGAAAACGCGGACTTTATTACTTAAATGAACTACATCGCTTTATATCGGCATATTTATCATGAAGCAGGTTATGCCGGCGTGAAGCGTCAAATTCAATTCTAAGGAAATTCAAAATGTCCCAACAATCCAAATCTATTGTCATTTATTAAAATCAAATCCATTTGAATATATGATAGCATACAAATACATTTTTGCCTATTTAAAAAAATCTTGGTTTCTTCGCAATGACCTCAACTTTTTGCACTTAGCGTACTCACTGCGCAATAGTTATCTTTAATTCGTCCTCTTTGTTCAGAAAATATTCGACAAAAATCACCGATATTCTGAATTTTTTTCTTCCCCTGAAAACGACACAGTATACACAATTATGTATTAAGAAAGTTTGATAAGCTGTCGGTGTTAAACAAACACATCTTGTTTTCGAAGTTAATAGTCAAAATAAAAATATCCTCTAACTAAAGGTAAATATAATGAAGAAACACCAAAGTTAAATACAATTTATTAATTATGTTTTTGTTTGCAGATCACGCGATTACTGTATCAGGAAAGATTATATAAGGTAAGAACAATATATAAAAAGAAAGTAGAATGATTCCTGTTATTTTTTCGATTGAAATTTGCATGAGTATCTAGAGTCTATATGTTTCTGCTTTTCGGTGCAGTATGAGTTAAAAGAGGAATTTTAAATGCATCCCAGTGCTTAGAACTATAGTTAACATTCCTAAAAGGCACATCAAAATCTTATTAAAATAAAAGAAAATCTACCAGTCTCTGAAACATGCTACAAACTTTCCGTTTTCTGCGAATAGAGCAATGTTTCGTGTAAACTGCGCAGCGCTTCGTGTAAGCCGTGGAGCGTTTCGTGTAAGGTACAACATATTCGTGCAAACCGTGAAAAAAGAGTGCAAATAGCATGTGATGAACGTGCAACTTTCGTGAAACAACTATGTGAGAAAGTCGCAATCCACATTCAGAATCTAGAAATAAAAAAATGTCTGTGAAGGGAGGGACTTGTCTCGGTTGTCATATCTGTGCAGTGCATTAAAGCTCTAACAAAAACTGTTTAAATATATGGAAACTTAATGTTTTTCAAAATTAGATTAAACTAAAACGTCAAACTAACTTGTATCTTTGTCGCAAAAAATATCTCTGTGAAATTTGACGTCCTAGTACTGATTATCTCAATGTTACGTCCAATGTTTACATATAATTTCCTTCACCTTGACGTTTGACACTTTTTTCTGAAAAGAAAATATCTATTGATAATTAATCTGATGAATAGCAAACAATATTTAATACCAAAAATGTCCATAATAGTATATTATTACTCATGATCAAATACTGCGTTTATAATCTAGTATTAAAACGATTTTTTTTTTTACAAAAAATGTAATTGCAAAACATTCAATTTGAAATTATAAATGTCAAATTTATACAAATATCTTCATACAGGAATTAGCGAAAATATGTATTTCAACTTTATACACACAGATTAAATGCTAAATGACAAGTTTAAATTAATAGCAATTGAACAGTTGAATATTCCTGTTTGTATTGTACTGGGATTGCAAGTTTAAAATTCAAGATGTTGTTGAAAAATTGAAAATTATAATTAATATATAATTAACCCGGAATGATTTAATTATCTGAGACATTAAGAAAAAAAATCCAAATTGAGTTCGAAGCATGTGAGACTCGTGTACAAAGACTTGTGCAGAGCATTTCGTGCAGCCTTTCGTGTTAACCGTGAAGCCTTTCGTGCGCAGATAAAGGAACAAACGGTGCAGTGTTTTGTGCAGACCTTGTAGTATTTCATGTAAGCTAAATAGCAAGACTGTACTGCGTGCAGTTAGTAGCATGTTTTAGGGTTGTGTACATTTATACAATATGAAATATTGAAAACGGTGGGTTATTTTCGGGGCAACCCTCGAATGAACATCTAAGGGCATCTTTTCAATCCGAAAAGAGATTGTGTTGAATGAAATTTGGAATGTAATTCCTTTTTCTTCTATGATCTTTTTCACTGTGTTACATCATCTTTTAACTACCTTCAAATTATTATCCATTTCTTTCTATCTACTGTCAACTTTCCCTACTTATTCATGAAGCAATAAATTGTTGTTACCTGTTAATGATGTATAATATCTCAGTTGGTTCGACACCCAAGAACATGTTCTACTAACGAACAGTTAAATAAATGATGCAAGCTAAGGGGTGAAATTATGAAGCAAGGATATCAACAGTTATCGTTTCATGATACAAATTATTTTGCATTTCTAATTCATACTATGACTGTGTGCAATAATGTGCTTGACAAACACTGTTTCAACACATTTTTACAGTTTGGATTTGTAGGATCGACTCACAATTTTACACTTTAAGGAGCAATTCATCAAATATAATTCAATATTATCGTTATCTTTTTACGAATCAGAAATTATGCATGATAATGAGCATGACCCAAACAAACTCAAACAGATGCAGACTCGTATTGGGAGGGGGGCAGACGAGAATTGGTGTTTATTTAGTACGTTTGGAGTAATGATCTAAATTTAGAATCATGTGTACAATACTAAGATTTTTTTTAATGGAAAATTTCAAATATTTACCACAGCATGAAGGTTTGATTACTTCTTTTTTTCCAGTCAGTTTTGGATTAACTAAAATAAATTCCCTCGTTGAATGGTCTTTTACAAATTAGCCGGGATTACAAGTATGTGCATTGAGGAAGCTTAGAAAGCTGATTAAAGTGTTACAAAAAACAAGTAAAACTGAGCTAGTATGTATTCTGTGCCAGATGATCGCGCAAAAATAGTAAAATGCGCTTTTGAATACAAAGTCGCCTCTGGTTTTTAAAACGCTTTGGAAATAAGTTCATAAAAGTTTAATCAGATATATCCTGAAATTATGCCTTAAAAACCTCCACAATTTTGGTAAAACTTGTGTTTTTTACATCTTAAATCAACGGAAAATATTTTAAAAATCTCTTATTCCAGCGATAATGAATTGTTATTTAACAGATTCATCCAAAGCTTTTGTTTATTTACACGGGGGTATCTTTGCAGAGAAATATATATTTTGTTATACCTTTAAAAATCTTTTATACAAACTTAATTTCATTCTCATTTGTTGGTGATCAAAAGTGAGGGACCTATTGTTACATCATGAAACACAGTACAAAATGCATGCATGTAAAACAAGAGGCCACTGGGCCACATAGCTCACCTAAGTAATGGGGCTAGGAAAAGTAGAAATTGGTTTATTATTGAAAAAATAGATTTATAAGTAGTCTCATGACCAATCATGGATTTGCTATTCTTGAGAAGATGATTTTAAAAGAATTTTCCTATATATGTCGATGTAAAACTTTGATTGGCCATAGTGGCCCCGCCCTACCCCGGGAGTCATGATTTGAACAAACTTGAATCTTCACTACCTGAGAATGTTTCCCCAAAAGTTTCATTTTTCCTGACACAGTGGTTCTTGAGAAGAAGAATTTTAAAACATACCATCAAATTTTCATTAATT